GTGGACGTTAGCCCGACTCGGAATACAAGGACCCACACCCAATTCGCGTTGATCAAACAGTGGCCTATGCAACAGAGAGATTTTATTTTTCATCAGGATATTGGAAGAATAGGAGGGATTGAGGTCAATCACTGGCACTTATTTTATTTTAAATGGTACTAACTTTATGTTGAACTATTTATTATGTTGTTGGTGCAACTGGCACTTTATGTTGAACTGTTTATTGTTTTGGCCAAGGTTATTGAGAGAGTTGGACTGAAATGTATTAGATTTTTTAAATCAACTGTTGGTAAATCAACAAAGTCTGTTATGGCCTCTGAAGCAACAGAGAGATGTTTTCTAATAGTCAGGGTTTCCAATGTTCTGAATGTACTTGAAAGTATTGTGTTTTACTTAAAAAACAAAGTGTTATAGTTTACAGAAGGTCTACCTACCTATAGGCTACCTGAATCTCTGAAATGTACTATATTCCTAAATATGCTATTGCTACACTTTATGGCAAAAATTGCACTTTTCTGTTGGTCTTGGTTAAGTACCACCTTGAAAAAGATAAACAATGTTTTGTTGCTTAAGCTTATGTAGTCAGTCATTATTCAATGGTATACTAAAATCCATGTGAAAAAAATTGCTTCTCACTGTTCTCAGGTCAAATATTTATATGTGATTAAAAATGCGATTAATTTCGATTAATTAATTACAAAGCCTCTAATTAATTAGATTAATTTTTTTAATCGAGTCCCGGCCCTAATTTAAATGTTTGATGAATCTATACATCTCTTTACTGGCTGTGTGTATTTCGTTCTTTTGTCAGCTAACAATTTTTTTACAATTATTTATGTTTTTGGCATTTTTCCCTTTGTAGAAACTTATACAATAAAGAATAAAGTGTGGAGAGAGGGATGACATGTAAGAGGCCCTGAGGCAGGATTGGAACCCTGGACTCCATGTGTCAGAGTGAGGCTTGTTCTTTAGGAAGCTGGGAGACTTATTGTAAGCTTGATTGTTGTTTTGTGTTATACTTTGATTTTCTTATAATTATGCAATTACATGTAAAATATTTAATCTCTATACTCAATCAGAGCAACTTTGCCCCTGTGTAGCTGATTCACTGAGATGCACTGATTATATCTCCCTCTGAGAGTCTGCAACTTGGCTCCATATCAGTGTGTCAAGGCTCTCAGTAAGGTGTGCTGTCTACAAGCCAGCCTTATCTTGTGGTGACAGGTAATACATTCAGGGAATAACAGCAGACAAATTATATGAGCAACCGCAGCCACACACAGAGTCACTGACTGTTGGATAGAACGTTTGCCCAGTGAAACTATTTCAAAACTGCAAATTGTATATAATGAAAAAAAGGGGTCAAACATTTCCCAAAATAAGCTATCATAATAGATACCAATAATAATACCTAGTGCTGGCTCTTAAATAATTACGTTTTTATATTGGCCCCGAAATAGTCAAAAATTCTATTTACTACATGTTGTCTATTGGTATCAGATTCAAAGAAGATAATTGTGTAAAGAAATACCCTTAAAAAATTGAAATGTTAACTTTAATTAAATGTATCATGCCAACAAATGGGTTAGATGAAATGAATCATATTAGGTTGAACCTAATGTGATTCATTTGAACTCAATATTATTGCTTTCAACTAACCTACTTGTAATACAGTTATGTGAAATCTGTTGACATATATTTAATTAAAGTCAATGTTTCAGTTTTGTCAGTGTATGTTGACAGTGTCTTTAAATGGACTTTTAATAATAATTTCAATAAGTATTTATACTCTCTTGTTGCTGTACTTGTTCATTCTGCATTAAACCTTTTTATGACGTAAAAAAAGAATAACATAACAGAGCTGCAGTGTAGACAGAGGCTGCAGTGTCATTGGTCCACGCTGTTGTTGACACCTACAATTACAGTACTGTGCTGCGACTTTTGATTATTATTATTAAGGGTTTGAGAAAATGTTTGGAATGTAACTGAAGGCTGTGCTGTTTTGTGTGAACCTCTTATCACAAGCTAAAATATGAATCAGTCTTATTTACTCTGCTATGAGAGGTGAGGTGACCCAATCTCAGTGATGACTCTGCATTCTGAGTCGAACAGTACACTATTGATTCTGAGTCAGCATTTCTTGTCATTCAGAATACCAGTTTTCAGATCTATATTTCTAAGTGCTAATGGGACAAAAGTATTTTGTTATTTTATATAGGTTTAAGGTTATTTTAGCCCCTATTGTCTTAATACAGATGTTTACATTCACAGCATTCAGTTTTTTGCCTGGTTTCTGCTCTTTACCGTTTGTTATTTAGTGAGACTTACAAGTACTTTTACCAATAGGGTATTCTTCACTGCTTTCCAGATAGATTTCCATACACTGTGGGAATAAAAGAAGACATAGATAAGACACTGTATCAGCCTATCAATGGTGTACAACAGCCAACCATACTTAACTTTTCGTTGATCGCCGTAATGCACACTTTTGAATACCGACTTATCCTCAGGAATATCTACGGCACTTCTATGGCTACAAGCCCAAGTCTGAGAGACAGAAGAGGACTACAGACACAGGAGAAGATGCTGACTGGAGGACCGGACTCTGTGATAAGATCCAGAAGATGCAGCGCTTCTTTGGGTTGCCGCCAAGTGGAGAGCTGACCAATGAGACTCTGGCAGTGATGAAGAGGCCACGCTGAGGTCTGTCAGATGTGGAGCGATTTGGGGAGACAATTCGCTGGAAGAAGAGAACCCTCAGCTACAGGTAAGAGAATGCAGCTGGTGTTATTTTTACTGACAAGCAACCATCAGGCTAAATAACAGTGGTTTTCAAGCACACCATTCAGCTAAATGCTAATGTAGGATGGCCACATGAACACAATAACAATGCTTATACTTTATGCAAATGTTTAGCATAGTTTATGTTTACCATGTTCACCATAAGTAGTTAACATGAACTCATTTCCACTAAACACAAATTAAGGCTGAAGCCTGAAGAAGTGTCAAGTGTTGGGCGGCTATGGCTAAGTGGATAGAGTGCTGGACTTTGAATCAAGGGGTTGCAAGTTCGAGTGCAGTTAGCATGTTGTTGTGTCCCAGGGCAAGACACTTCACCCCAAATTGCTCTTGTGGGGATTGTCCACAGTATTGAGTATGTAAGTCGCTTTGGATAAAAGCGTCTAACAAATGACATGTAATGTAATTTTACGATTTATTTGGTCAATGAAAAAGTATTGGATGCATTCAAATGTTGACCATATGATGGCAACTCGGTGGTGATAAATGTGTACACCAGGTTGCATGGCAATCCATCCAAGTTGTCGGCATTTCGCTTAAAACCATTGTGAACCTGACAAACCTGAGGTAAAGGAAAAAGCAGGGAGAACCACTATATTCAGTAGGATTTATCCTCAGGAGGACATGAAGTCTGACAAAAACTAGCAATCCATCCAAGCATTGCTGAGATATTTCAGAGTGGGGACTGGTTGACCAACAAATGGACATTGCCATCCATGGAGCCATGCATGACAAAAGAATAACCCTGTAACAGATGGGAACAAAATTAAAAAGACAAATAGCACTAAATATGCAGATTAGTAAAGAATAATTAAATTAGGTAGTTGTAAAATCATATCTTCTCTCCTCAGGATCGCTGGCTACAACCTTCCCTTCTCAACCTCAAAGGTTCAGAAAGTCTTCAGGGCGGCGTGGAAGCTCTGGTCCAACGCTGCAGCGATGAAATTTCGCAAGCGGAACAGGAAAGAGGCTTATATCGTCATCTCATTCCACAATGGAAGTTAGTTTTAAAGAGAGACATGGCATCAAGGAAACCTAAGTGTATCAGTTAATTGCATTGTTTGTTGCAGATCATGAAGATGGCTCACCTTTTGATGGCACAGGAGGAATCCTGGCGCATGCCTTCCTGCCTGGGGTTGGTATTGGTGGAGACGTACACTTTGATGCAGAGGAAGACTGGAGTCTAAATTCTACGGGTACAGCACCAGAGTTGGAACTTTCACACAAAGTGCATTAGGTTGACTTAAGGACTGGTTGGACATTTTACTCTCACTGACATTTATATAACTATTAAGTGTAACTTTACGACCTTTGTGTTGTGACGTTCCTGCTCCAGGTTTCAACCTTTTTGCTGTAGCAGTCCATGAATTTGGCCATGCGCTTGGCCTGCCCCACTCTGATGATCCCGGAGCGATCATGTACCCATCATACAATTTTGCCCCTAATAAAGAAATTCGGCTCTCCTTCCGCGACGTCACAGATGTCCAACACCTGTATGGTGAGTTCAGCTGGATTGTAAAAAAAAAGGCCTAATTTCACTGCTTTGAGGCCTAAAAAATTGCTGGTACTTCTCTACAGTATAGTGGACAAATTGTAAAGAAGGATAATTATATATCGGATAGAGTGTGCATATGAAATAATAACATGTGCTTTAATAACATGCACCAAAGAAGTAGAAACACACGATGAGTCTTATGTAATCAAACTGTATTTTGTTCGAGATAATATTTCAATGTTTTGGTTTCCAAAGTTTACAGTAGTGTTGAAAGCTAAAAACCACAACATCCTGTTTTTTATGTTTCATCATCAGTCTTTAGAAATGTCTTCAATAACAGTAAATCTTGAAATAAAACATAAAAAACAGGATGTTGTGGTTTTTAGCTTTCAACACTACTGTAAANGACTGTGAAGAAACTGCTCAGCTATGCATAAAAAAAGGAAACAATACAGTCAGAATATGACAGCAGAGAAAATCTAAGACTGTGAGAAGTTTGTTGTGAAAATGAAGCGTTGACACTAACCATTATTTCAAGATTTACTGTTATTGAAGACATTTCTAAAGACTGATGATGAAACATAACATTTCTCAGGCAAATTGATCAACACCAGTATAGGAGGTCACATTTAGAGAGAATTAAAAGGTTGCAAAAAAAACATGTCACAATTAAGCAGAAGGTAGAAACGCAGAAAACATTTAATGATTTGTGGTGTATCTTTAAAAGAAATGTATCATCCAGCACATATGGAGTATAACGTAAAAACAAAGGCATCCAGTTGCAGCAATACGATAATAATATCAACAATAAAATCAAACACAACACAAGAAAAGTGTACTTTGATGCAAATTACATTATTACTAACCCGTGTAACACGATGAGGTACTGTAATACTTTTAACCACTGCCTTGAATCATCCATCACTTCCCTATTTGGTATTAGGTACATTGTGGTTATTGCTGATTATAAATGTTTTGTAACACTGGTGTTTTCACACACAGCAAATACAAATTCAATCATCTCCTCTTTTTCAGTATTTCCTTGTCGTCATTCTTCTTGCAGTCCAGCATGTCCTTGGCAGGGCTTGTGGTCACATATTTGGAGTTCGGGTCAAATTTGTAGTGGACGTTTCCTTTGAAGAAGTGCACAAGTCCTGTTGGGGAATTAAATTGTTACATGTCAATTTTTTTTGCCTAGTGCTTGAAGTACATGGCACCAGCATCTGTACAAATATTTCTGAATGCAGCATATCAGCCTGTGGTTTCCACAAATAAAGTTATGTACACTGAAAACACTGAAACGTTGACTTTAATTAAATGTAATATATCAAAACCAATCACATAACTGTATTGGTTTAGTTAAAAGCAATAATATAAGTTGAACCTTTAAACTTAATATTATTGCTTTCATCTAATCTAATACAGTTATGTGAAATATTTTCATATAATAATAATAACATACACTCACACACCAATTGTTTTTTAAGAAATGCGGACAGGAGGAACTTAGTCTCCTCTGAATCAGAGAAAATTATTCATGCCTGTTTCCTTCAGATTTAGAGTTTGGTCTGCAGTCACAGTGTTAACTTCAACAAAATAAGAGAAATCACACATCCTAAGAAGAAGCATATTCATGTTGGTTTGCAGAATTAATTCTAAGATTTTATCCACTACTTTCAACATATCTTCTTTTTCTGCAAACAGAGGTGCCTATCAGTCCCATTCCTTGCAAAAAATCTTGCTCACTTTATTGACTCGATACTTTTTGTGTAAATCATGTATCACATGACGAAAACTCCCCAATTTTGTCCATGTTAAATTGGAAACAGATTGAATAAGAAGGTGTTGTAACTACCCTCTAAGAAGACAGCTGCATCTATGGGAGATGGAATCCCCGGCCACTGGTGCTCTATAAGTGTCGGTAATCCCTCCATCGTCTTCTGCTGCTCATTGTACCTATATAAAGTTCACAAAGATGACGTTGTACAGCATTGTCTCCACATTTTAGTGCTAGCAGGTTACAACGGTGCAGAGTAAACCACAGTGCCTCCTATGTCTGACATGAGCAAACTTACCATGACTAATTAGCTTAAAACCCAAGTAAGAAATAGCAAAGCAATTGATGGAAAGCCATTTGTAAGCTTGTATCACCAACATCTTTTTGGCATCAAAAATGTTGATAAGTACAGAATGATCAAAGCAATGACTACAGTCAAAAGCCAGCATCAAAATTATTTCTAAATTTGGGAGCAGATAATTCTGTGGCATCTGTTTTACTGCATATGAAAGTTAGTCATAGTGCTAATGGAACATGATGTTTTTTATTAGGATCATAAAATAAATGCGGGATTATGATTATGGTAAATGAACCATTAAGCACATTACATTTATTTGGTCATGGACCTTGTGATTTTTTTCAAAAGCAATTTATGGTTGCAAAATTGTACTTAATATTTACTAAAAACAGATTTCAGTCTGATCAAAGTCACCAATAACTTAAAAGCTGCTTCCACGCAGACTGCGAATCTGCTTTTCTTCAAAGTTATCACACATCATTTTTAACCAAATTACTGATAACCCTGCACCATTCAAGAGTCAAAAAATGATTTTAAACAAGTGTATACACAGTCATTATAGTTGGGAAACTATAGTTATAGTTATAGCTATAGTTGGGAAACTGTGGGATATCTAATACCTCCAACACTCATGGCCAGTGAAGAATATAGTGTAGCTGCCTAGTCGGAAGTGAAGAGCGGCATCTACAGATTTGATTCTGGAGGGGAAGCCCAAGTCTGAGATGTTTCTTGGGAATCCCCCCTCAAGTTTTAATTGCCTCATTATCCAGTATTGATGACCTGAAACAAAAAACTGATGTGTCACATTGAAAGATACAGTATATTTATATCAACTACACATTGATATACATGTTTTTTTGATTAAAAAAAAGTCAATCAAAGTGCCCAGGAAACTTTATTTAACCTTTGAAAAACACATTAACACTCCTCTCCATGTTCTCATAGACAGCATCCAAGTAGTTGGGTACACTGTCTGACCAAAGACTGCCAATCAGGGTGATTCTTGTGTCATCAAACTGAGGATGTCTGCGCCACATAAATCTGAAAATACAAGGTACCAGGTAAAAAACATGTCCCTCTGTCACCCTTTATGTTTATGATGTCAACATACTTTGACAGGGACCTTTACATACCTATCTTTGAAAAATATGACCTCCTGTTGTAACTCTGTAACAGCATCAAAGGACAAATGTGGATCACATTTGTCAGGTGTTCTTGGAGGCGGTCTTTTTGAGAACAGTGAAGCAAATGTTGGACTGATACCTGTTGGAAACAGAAATAAACAGTTTAGGTACATTCTTATCAGAACAAATAAGACCCTGGTCTTAAAAGTGTATCCAGCTTTTTTTTCCTATTTAATAAAATGTTCTTGGTGTAACTATCAGAAAATTATTGTTATAAACACAAGTTAGGTAAAGTTAGTTGCCCTTGCCTTTAATCACTCTTGGCTAGTTGAAAGCAATCTTTAGATATACAAACAGGCAAGGCAGGCAACTGCTTGGGGCCCCGGACCAGAAGGGAGCCCCCAAAGAAGGTAGATTAAGAAGGTCCACAGCAACGACAACATGAAACACCCTTTAATTTACTGCAACGACATGTCGGGTAACCCCCTCAAGGGGTCCCCATGCATAGCGCACCGTCAAAAGCTCAAAATGTCCCTTCGGTTCGAGGGGCCCCCAGTGAATGTTTGCCTAGGGCCCCCACAGACTCTAGAATCACCACTGTTTGCACTATAACATTTATGTGTTGACTTAAATCAACACCGTTACACTGTAATACACCAACAAGCTAGCCAATTTAGTCTATCAGTCAGATCCCAAAGAGTCTATGACTTTAAGTGAACTCTAAACAGTATTTTTTGATAAGTAAGCTAGCTAGCGATTTGTCTACGTTAGCATCAAGCGTCTTCAAATAACATTATTCAACTCAAACCACCATATCACAATCTTTTTTACACGTTGGTGTTTGTTGTACCTCTTAGCAAAATATTGATATGGAGAACTGAATTTAATAAATGTACTGTTTATTAGACCAATAATGAGATATGATGATCTTGCTAGCACGACATGCAGTCCCTCTCTCCCTGCAACTGAGACTGCTCAGCTGTGAGGAGAATGGGGGGTGCTTCACCTGTATCAACTCAAATTTAGCCAGTGCAAACCCCAGTGGGAGCGCTGGGTCTAATTTGTGTAACGATAGCTACAGTTAGTGTGCTGATCGGGCTAGAGTCAGGCCAGACCAAGATCAGACCTCCTGGATCTGTCACTGACTTAACTATTAATACAAGTAAAACGTTATATGCAAGAATACTAATTCAGAATGATGTACTGCATCATCTGCAAATAATCAATTTCAAGAAAGAATGAAAGAATAATCAAATATTTCATATAG